GGAAAACAGATGAGGAACCCGCGACGGCCGCCGGTCCAAGATCCAAGAAAACAGATGAGGAACCCGCGACGGCCGCCGGTCCAAGATCCAAGAAAACAGATGAGGAACCCGCGACGCCCGCCACAGCCAACAAGAATGACGAGATGGCGGCCATGTCTACTTAGCTTCTCCGGCCACATGATGAACTGCGCGCCAGATACATTTTTTTATTTGTTTTTGTTTTTTGAAAGATACATTTTTAATTGTTTGTATGTAGTATGTCAATTACTTTCACTTGCAAATGATCAAAAAAAAATTACTTTTACTTGCAAGCTAGCTTTCATTAGTCTGATCCATCTGTATTTCATCATTTTTACATTCACCCCACTTATGTTATACTCCGTAGTAGTACTACGTATTATATTACTCCGTATTATTTTAAAAGTTGGATAAATAAAGTTTAAATCATTTTAAAGTTCAATACGTGTGATAGTAACAATATTTAAGTTCTGAGAATTGAGAAAATGAGAAACCGTAGTGCGTTGATTGCATGCATGAAGCTTATAGCTACAGTGTGTCTTTTTAAGTAATTAGCTAGTAAAACTTCTTATGGATCGTACCTTTAATTTACTCATTTCAAGACATGAAAATTTGATATAAAAAAAAATTATGCTTACGATACTCTTATTTTAATTGATTCGTACTATGTTAGGATATTCCTAAACCCTAATAATAATTACGAGGCTGCAGATTATAACTTTTAATTTATATATACTTCATTAATTATGAATTGTGATTGAAACCAAAATAAGTATTCTGTGAGCTCAAATAATGATAGATATATGGTTAGTGGTTAAGTATATACCATATATATATATATATATATATATATCTAATCTAAAAACATTATAAATATGAATAGAGGTTAGTACCCCTAAATTGTGTCATCCTCTTATATGCATTAATACTTGTATTGTTTTATAAAATTAATGTGCTTAATTTTTTGTGGTCAAAAATATCCTTCTACTACCGTTAGCTAAAAGAAACGCCGTTTGACTTCTCCACCCATTTTGTAAAGTATTTAAATGAAAGTTTATGATTTATGACTTGTCCCCCCTTTATGATTTATAATTTTTAACTTTATGTTATTTAAATAATAAAGTACTCCACTTAATTTATGAAATATCATATACGAATATCTAACTTATTAATTTAGTCAACTTTAATATAGTGAAACTTGCATGTTGTGTTTACCTTTTTTAATCGGTTTATAATAATATTTGTAAAGAAACTCAATTGACTCTATAGAATTTCTAAATAACTTCAATTGACTCAACTAAATTTGAAAGAGTGAGAATTTTCAAATGTTAGTTTTTATTTATAATTGATATTTAAATTTTAACACGCTTAATTACCTTCTTTAACCTTCAATAGGACAAACTTTTTAATGCATAAATTTGAATTGAAATAATTATTTAATTAAAAATTATGTTTGGATGCCAATCTTGTCACGGATTTGACACTGATCCCTGCCAAAAATCTTTATTAAATATGTTTAGGCACAAATAGTCCCTACTAAATCCATGACAAAGGTTCGTTCCGATCCAAATCTCTGCTTGGTCTATTGATTTTTGCGAGTTTTTTATGAATTTGACTTTATCATACTAGATCAGATCAGAAAATATCAGTCTAATTAAAAACATCCTAAATTGAAACTCGTTTAAAAAATGATTACTTTTACATATGGACAAAGTTGACTAACAAGATAAAAATTTGGAAAAAGATGATATGAGTGATGATATCACTATATGTTTTTGTGTCACTAACAATTATATCAGATTGTATTGGTCGTGGTTATAGATGTCACTGCCGCCATTAAACATGTCATTATGACCGCCATAAAACTTTATTGTCACTTCTACTGGTGAGTTTAAAAAGAAAAAAGAAAAAAAATCAAACAAATAGCATCAAAATTTTCGGACTACGGAAAATTCATGTATATATATATATAGTGAGAACCCCTTTTAAGATGATACCTTTTCTTCTGTTGGACTGGCTTGGCGTCAGGCCGAACGGCCAACTTGTGACATATGAGGGCCGGATCGATCCCCAGCATGTCTTCAGGTCCCCGGGCAAATAGGACCTGGAATTTCTTTAGGACAGTTATCACCTCTTCTCTGATTTCCCTTTCAAACTCTGTGCGTCGGGTCTGCACCTCAATGCTGTTTACCCGCTGTCCCCGGGCAGTCATCTGTTTTAAGCCTCCCTGTAGCACGTCCGGGCTATGGCAGGATCTGTTCGGGACACTCCCACACCAGTGTCAGTTAGGAACTTGATGCATGAGTGTCGAACAGAAGCAATTGCCTCCAAATCTTCCAGCCCTGGGCGGCCCAATATGGCGTTGTGGGCACATGTAATATCCACCACCACAAACGTCATCTGGACTGCTGCCCGGTGTGTTTCATCGCCTATTTCAACCAGAAGCTGGATGGTGCCTTCGGCCTCGATTACATTACCGGTGAAGCTAGCCAGTGGTGTCTTCATCTTGGTCAGCTGATCTTTCTTCAGCTTCATCTTCTCCAACGTGTGTAAATACAGCACGTTCACACTGCTTCCTGTGTCCACCAGAACTCGGCAGATCAAGGCATCGTCTATACACATACTCACCACTAGCTCGTCCCTGTGCGGACTTGGTGAGTTGGGCAGGTCAGCCACCCCGAACGTAATTGGCTCCAAGCGGCCTTTCTTTGAGGGTGGAGCAGCTATAGTGGCAACATAGAGGCTGCGCTCAAATTTCTTACGTTCAGCGGCTGTATCCCCGGTCTCTCCTCCACCAAAGATGACTTTGACTTCCATCCTTGGTTTCTTCCCCAGATTCCCCGATCCCTCAGCCTCCTCTATAGGGGGACGGTATGAATCATTGCTTGGCTCTATGTCCCGCTGGATATCCCTTTTCCAGCTATTAGATCGGGGAGGGCGTTGATTGGGGGGAGGGCCGTTCGGGTCGGTGCTGACATATTTCCTTAGGTAGCCTTTCTGGATCAGGTTCTCGATTGCCAGATGTAGGGCGTGGCAATCCTTCGTGAGGTGTCCATTCCGCTTGTGGTATCTACAGAAGGCCTTCGGGGTAGCCCCCATTACGGCCCTTGTGCCAGTAGGGGGAGGAATGGCATTCTTTTCCAAATGGAAAACGCCAGCTATAGACATGACCAGGGGGGTGAAATGTCCAGTCTTGCGACGAGGCGCTGCAGCCGCTGGTGCGGGTCCCAAACGTTCCGCCAGCCTTGTAGTGGGGGGCTGCGGGGCCGTTCGGTCCCTCATCCTGATTTCCTCTTCTAGGGCCGCATGTCTCCTGGCCCTCTCTAACACCTCCGGGTAGTGGGTGCCCGGGTTCTTCTTAAGCTCCCCGGTTTGGAGAGCATCGGTGAACAAGAGGATGATGGTCTCGTCCGTCATGCTAGTGACCTTGAGGGTCTCGCTCCTCCATCTGATCAGGAAGTCGCTGACGGACTCCCTTGGTGCTTGCCTCACCGTGGTCATGTGACTAAAATGCACCTTATGCTTGGTGCCAGAAGCGAACTGCGCCAGGAAAAGAGTGGACAGTTCGGCGAAGCTTCCAATTGATCCGGGCTGCAACGTCCCGAACCATTCTTGTGCGGCTCCCTGGAGGGTGCTGAAGAACAATCTGCAGATGGCTGCATCAGTGGCCCCAAGGAGCATGAGGCCTCCTTGGTAGCTTCTCAAGTGTATTTCGGGGTCACCTACCCCATCATATGTAAGCCCGGCCGGGGGATGGCAGTCCCGGAGAATTTCTGCGCTCATTATCTCCCATGTGAAGGGAGAAGTGATACCAACCCGAGCTGGCGGTGTTTGCTGGGGCGTCCGGTTCACCTGCTCCCTGAGCTCAGTCATTTGTCTCCTCATTTCGGCCATTTCTTCGTCTTGGGCCGTTCGGGGAGTTTGTGGTATCCTTGCTTCCACATACTCCGGCATCCTGTTCGGGGGAGGGGCAGCTGTGTTAGCCCTCCTCCGAATAAAATGTTCCCCATCCCTCTGGACATACTGGAAATGTTGCCCAACGGGGTCTATCATGGGGGTAGGTTCCCTGTATTCGTTCCGAGGTGCGGACGGGGTTCGGGAGGTTGGTGCTTGCTGGTCATGCCTGGAAGGGTGGGCCCTCCTGTAATTCCCTCGATGCTCCTGGGAATGTGCTGAGGCCGTGGTGGTCTTAGTGTCTTCCTTTTCGTCAAAGGATGACATAGGATGAATAGCGGACAGAGGCTCATGAGTCTCATCGGTGTATCCCTGTTCATGTTCATCCGCCATGCGCTGCATAGCCTCTGCCATCTCCCTCATCAACTGAGGGTTCCTCCTTACATCCCGAGGGATGATGCCTTCAAACTCCCGGGTGGCACTGCCACTGGCGTGTCCTTGCATGGACCACCCCTCAAAAGATCCATTGCCCCTTCGGCCCCTGGACGTAGAACTCGGTGTTGCTGTGGTGATTCTAGCCATTTGCTTTAGAAAAATGGTGCCTAGATCAACGGTTTTGCTTAGGATTTTTGTTCAGTTTCCCACAGACGGCGCCAATGTTGAGGTTTATTCCCGAAGATCCGAAAGCCCAACACAAGCTTTGGATATTGGGTTGGTTTGGAAAGTGTCTAAAATATAAAACAGTGAGATATTATTCAACTAAGGAGCTTACTTGTATTCAGTAATTTTGCGATTACACTGCAACTACCCGAACGGTAGGTAATTATAAGAATACAAGAATAAGGGATGTAAATCTATTGCTAAGCTCTGAGTATTGAAATGCTAACCCTTTACAATGATCTAAACATGGGTATTTATACTAAAATGGGGATGGATAAGGTGGACACGTGGCCGAATCTGGTATGTCACGCCCCGGACCTATCCGGACACGTCAACAACCCGCCGTACAGTACGAATAGTCAACCGCAGTCCAACTCATCCATACTATACAAGGCGTCTTGAATACCATTCACACATAGTACATCCATAAACAAGCATAATGTAAAATATTCATTTAAGCAGCGGAAACATTTAATACAAGTGTTTATGCCACACTCGGCAAACATGGGCATACAAGCCCCTGAATGATTATTCAAAAAAATAATATCCATGAGCATTATTTAGATTGTTTTCAAAACAGAAACGGAAGAAGCACGAACCACGTCTTCTTCCCTTGATCTCCCCGAAGCAACGGGTGGTGGCAGCAACTCTTCAAGTTCTACCTGAAACTGTGAGGTGGCCTCCCCCGTGAAGGGGAGGTCAGTACTTGGAAGCATTTGACAAGTACAATGACAACTATACTAAGTATAATCAATGTTTCAATTTCTTAAGACCCTCAAATAGAGTGATATTATATCGTAGGCCGTAACCCCCGGTTACCCTGTTTTATGAATATACTTACTTTATATAAAGTCAAGTAGTCGGCCCGTGGGCCCATATTCATTTAGAATTTACCATTTTCACTTTCCGTGACCATGAGTCACGACAACCCCATAGGGTTCCCTCGAGTCCCGATTGTATAGCAAGGGCTCGGCCCAACTACATTTCTATACAATCCTTTAACTCAATTAATATATCTAAATTTGTATGGCAAGGGCTCGGCCCAACTACGTTTCCATACCAACCATAACTTCATGGCAAGGGCTCGGCCCAACTACGTTTCCATGAAGATCACAATGCATGGCAAGGGCTCGGCCCAACTACGTTTCCATGCTAGTCACATTACATGGCAAGGGCTCGGCCCAACTACATTTCCATGTAATCCTAGAGTCCGACTCTAATTTATTTCCATAGCTCAATTCTCAAGCAAATCCTATGCCTAGAATCAATTCACTTGGATAGCCTTTTGGCCTACCCCTAACACACCGTAGTGTTCATACAATTTGACCTTAAAGCATCTCTTAAGACTACTTAAGGCATATCTATTCACAATCCTATCTCTTAGGATTACTTCCATCATTTATTTATATAAATCTCCCGACTAGTATTTCGATACTAGTCGAATAACCTTAGAACAACCAAGTTCTAAGTTCATAGCCAAATGGTTTATCTCAATTGATTTTCCAATCCAAATATGATTTAATCCCAATATCAAAAATATCACTTTTATCCATTCATGAATTTCATACATGAAGTAAAAGTATATTTTATCACAATTTTCATAGTTAATTCCATTACCATACCATTTCTTTCATATCACATAATCATACACAATTTCTTACAAATTTGTATATTATGCTCTTTTCCTTATAGACAATAGTCTTCTCATTCTTAGGCATTATTAATCATTAATAATCCTTAAAAACATATTTAATTACCTTAGGTAATCTCATGAAATTAACCCAAAGATTATAAGCAATATAGTCAGCCATCCTCACCTTATGAAGTGCTGAAATAGTTGCCTTTATTAAGCCCTCCGATCAACCCCCGTTCTGAACCGATCGAAAGCGAAAAATCTGGGCAGAAGGTGAAAGCCGGGCGGCTTTCACGAAAGCTGGGCGGCTTTCGTCGTCTGCTACTACGAACAGCTCCCTTAAAGTGGCGGTTTCCGGCGATTTCGACTCCTATCGATTCACCAACTCTTCTAAGTTAATTATCACCACTTTATATCAATATAATACACTTTTAAATGTGTAGAACTCATGGTTTAATCCACCATATGATTTCTTAAAAATCATACACCATAAAACTAGTTAAGAGATTGTTTGTTGAGTTCTTACCTCAACACAACCCTTTTCTTCTTGGATTTCCTTTGCTTCTTGCTTCCTCAAGTTTGAGCTCGTGAAAGGCTCTCCCACAGACCTTATCCCTGTTGCTCTCTTTCGTATGGACTCAATTAGGTGAGGGAGTGCATCTATTCTCAATCACTTGGAGAATAATGCATGAATGAGACAAGGATGGGGTGTGGTTTTGTCTCCAATCACTCTCCCAGTAATAGTCCGCCCAACCCATGTTATGATGTCTCAAAATCATTATTTTGAGTCTAAAGATTGTAGGAAAAAACCCCAATTGGGTATAGGAAGTCCCTCCCAATTATTCTTGCTATTTTTGACAGGTTGGGCCAAAATAGCACTTCGGTTGTCCAAACATTTTTATCAACTTTGGTTGGCATTTTATTGGGCTTCTCTAATTATTACATCGACCCAAATAAATATTTGGTAGCCCATTCTCAATAATATGGACCCGATAAATAATTTAATTAATCGCACATTAATTAAATATACCAATTCTGTTACACGATTTTATTCGCTGTAAAATTCAAACATATTCCGAATTTCAACTTCAAGTTCATCCGGGTGCGGTGTCACAAGTTCACCCCCCCTTAATCGGGAATTTCGTCCCCGAAATTCACAAATGCTTATTCAAACAGAAATGCATATTGCTCCTTCATTAAGGCTTCCGTTTCCCAAGTTTCTTCTTCAACTCGGTCACTTTTCCAAAGGATTTTCACCATTGGAACTTTCTTGCTCCTTAGTTTCTTTACTTGCCTATCAAGTATTCTCACCGGTCGTACGGCGTAGTTCAAATCTTCACGTATTTCCACGGGTGGTTTCTCTAACACGTGAGACGGATCCGGCACATATTTTTTCAGCATAGACACGTGGAACACATTATGTATCTTCTCCAATTCTGGAGTCAACTGCAATCGGTATGCTACGGCCCCAATTCTCTCAAGAATCACAAATGGCCCAATATATCGTGGGTTAAGTTTCCCTCGGCTCTGGAATCGGATGATTCCCTTCCAGGGTGAAACCTTCAAGAATACCTCATCTCCCACCTTAAACTCTAAGGCTCTCCGGCGTTTATCGGCATAGCTCTTCTGTCTATCCTGGGCCGCCTTAAGCCTATCACGAATCACCTTCACCTTTGACTTGGTGATCTCCACCAATTCTGTGCTCTCAAGCTTGGCCATGCCAACCTCGTCCCAACACAACGGTGTACGACATCGCCTCCCATACAATGCCTCGTATGGAGGCATGCCAATACTCGCCTGATAACTGTTGTTATAGGCAAACTCTACCAGTGCTAGATGGTTGTCCCAACTTCCTTGGAACTCCAATGCACAAGCTCTTAGCATATCCTCTAAAATCTGTATGACTCTCTCGGATTGTCCATCCGTCTGTGGATGAAAAGCAGTGCTAAACTTCAATTTCGTTCCCATAGACTCTTGGAACTTCGGCCAAAATCGTGATGTGAATCGTGGATCCCTGTCGGACACAATGGTTATAGGAACCCCATGTAGCCTCACGATCTCATCCACATACAATTTGGCTAACCTCTCAAGTGCATAGGTAGTGTTGATAGGTAGAAAATGTGCACTCTTCGTGAGCCTATCAACCACAACCCATACGGCATCGTAATTTCTCACGGTCCGTGGCAGTCCTACCACAAAATCCATGGTCACGTGTTCCCATTTCCACTCCGGAATGGAAAGTGGTTGCAATAACCCCGCTGGATGCTGATGTTCTGCCTTGACTTGCTGACAAGTAAAGCATCGACTGATGTATTCGGCTATCTCCCTTTTCATGCCTGACCACCAGTAACTCTCTTTCAAGTCACGGTACATCTTCGTGCCCCCCGGGTGCATGGCATAAGCCGACGAATGAGCTTCCTCTAAGATGGACTTTCGGAGCTCATCATCTGCCGGTACACACACTCGGTCACGAAATAATAGGAGACCATCGTCTCTTTCCCTGAAATCTTCAACCGGTCCCGCTAGCATGCGTTCGCGGACCTTCATAAGCTCTTTGTCAGTCTCTTGACCCTTCTTGATCTCATCGAGTAAGGTAGGCCTCACCTCGAATCTAGCTAACAAAGCACCGTCGCTAGATACCTCCAATTGGGCTCTTAATGCCCTCAAACTAGTCAACAATGCCCCAGACGAACTCTTTCGGCTCAAGGCATCCGCCACCACGTTGGCTTTACCGGGGTGGTACTCAATGATAAGATGGTAGTCCTTTATCAACTCCATCCATCGCCTCTGTCTCATGTTCAGCTCTTTCTGAGTGAACACGTATTTCAAACTCTTATGGTCAGTGTATATATGACATGTCTCCCCGTAGAGATAATGTCTCCAAATCTTCAGTGCAAATACCACTGCCCCCAGCTCTAAATCATGAGTAGGGTAGTTTACCTCATGCTTCTTCAACTGTCGTGAAGCATAGGCAATTACCCTCCCATTCTGCATCAACACACATCCAAGCCCTTGGATGCTCGCATCGCTATAGACATCGTACCCCATACCCTGTTTGGGTAATGCGAGTACCGGTGCCTCGGTCAATCTCCTCTTTAGTTCAATGAAACTTTTCTCACATTTGTCATCCCATACAAACTTAGCTGCTTTACGAGTGAGCTTTGTCAATGGCGACGCCAAAACAGAGAACTTCTCCACGAACTTTCTGTAGTAGCCTGCTAACCCAAGAAAACTACGAATTTCCTTGACGTTCTTTGGCCTCTCCCATTCGGTAATGGCTTCTATCTTCTTGTTATCGACCGCAATTCCCGATCCCGAAACCACATGCCCGAGAAAGCCAATCTCCTTTAGCCAAAATTCACATTTAGAAAATTTGGCATAGAGTTGCTTCTCCCGTAGCGTCTCGAGAACAAGTATCAAGTGCTCCTCATGCTCTTCTTCACTCTTTGAGTAAATCAAGATGTCATCTATGAACACAATCACGAATCGGTCCAAGTATTTATGGAATACTCGGTTCATCAAGTCCATGAATGCCGCGGGGGCGTTTGTTAACCCAAACGACATAACAAGGAATTCGAAATGCCCATACCTTGTGCGGAAAGCACTTTTTGGTATGTCATCTTCCTTGATCTTCAATTGATGGTACCCCGACCTCAAGTCAATCTTTGAAAATACAGTTGCTCCTCGGAGTTGATCAAACAAGTCATCAATCCTAGGCAGGGGATACCTATTCTTGATTGTGACCTTGTTCAGTTGACGATAGTCAATGCACATTCGAAGTGTTCCATCCTTCTTCTTCACGAAAAGGACCGGTGCTCCCCACGGGGAGTGACTTGGTCTAATGAAACCGTTATCCAAAAGCTCTTGCAATTGGGTTTTCAACTCGTTAAGTTCTGCGGGTGCCATACGATATGGCGGTATAGAGATTGGTTTGGTGCCGGGCTCAACCTCGATCACGAACTCAATCTCCCTGTCGGGTGGAAGTCCCGGTAAATCTTTAGGAAAGACATCCGGATACTTGCACACCACCCTCACATCATCAATGTTTGTCTCTTCTTTTGTTTTGTCTACCACGTATGCTAGATATGCGTGGCATCCCTTTCTCATCATACTCCTAGCTCTCACGGCGGATATGATACAACTATTGGATTTGGCCCGATCCCCCTCGAAGCGTAAGGTTACTCCTTCACCGCCTTCGAGTTCAAGTATCTTTGTGTAGCAATCGACCCTAGCATGATGTTTCTCAAGCCAATCCATCCCCAGGATTGCATCGAATTCAATCATACTCAGCGGTACGAAATCACACGTCAAGTTTTGGCCCTCCACTTCCACCTCACACGATGGATAGTGGCTATCTCTCTCGATGTCTTCCCCTAGAGGTGTGGATACCAATAGGGCTTGAGCCATCGGTACAAGTGGTTCTTTGAATCCCCCGGCAAACGCCTCACTCACGAATGATCGTTGCGCCCCGGTGTCAATGAGAATTCTTGCGTCTCTCCCGTTAATCTGTAGTGTTCCTACATTCATAAGCAATGTAAGACACACTCCCCACTTATTAGACTCATTTCTTAGGTTATAGAGTACCCCGGCTATGGTTTGGATGATCGTCATCTAACGCCCCATCCCGATTCCATCCCGGTTTTCCCCCTTGAAATCAACATCGAGCACCAATAAGGGAAAGCCGGCCGCTTTTCACGAAAGCCGGCCGGTTTTCGTACTTTGGCCTTCAGCCCGGAACGGCTGGTTACGTAAGCCGGCCGGTTTTTGCCAAAGCCGGCCGGTTTTCGGTCGCCGAAGGAATTCCAACTTTTAAATTGTAAAAGCCGGCCGGTTCTTACGAATGCCGGCCGGTTTTCGTTAGCAGCGCCCCATACCGGAATTCCTGAACACAAGCCGGCCGGTTTTTACAAAACTCGGCCGGTTTTTATACGCCGAAGGATTTGAACAAAAATCCTTTACGAAAGCCGGGCGGCTTTCGTCAACGTCGGGCGGCTTATGGTCGCCGTAGGATTTATGAAATAATTCATAGACAAACGTCGGGCGACGTTCGTCACAGCCGGGCGGCTTTCGCCCCGGGCAGATATCTGTCCTCCTCTTTGAACTTTAAACAGGCCGGGTTGGCCATATAATTATACGTTTCAACATTTATACAGTTCACAAAGAAATAACATCAAAAGTTCAAGAATTTACCCGCGACGGAGTCCGGGTTAGCACGTGCATCGGCTTCCGTAATCGCATAGACCCTCGCTTGGGTCCTCCCTTGATTCACGGACGGTGCATTACTTGCGCTAGCTCCACCGTGCCCCGTGTTTGCGTGAGGTGCCGCTGTCCGGTTTCTGCTCATCGTGGTCCCACCACTCGGTCCGGCACTCACGGCTCGCCCAAGTTGCGGGCAATTGCTTCTCAAGTGTCCTGTCTCCCCGCATTGGTAACATCTTGGGGGATCACGACACTTACCCGCATGATTCCTCTTGCAGTTATTACATCTTATAATGCCCGAGCCTTGTGACCTCGAGCCTTGCCCCCCTGGGCCTTGGTTTCCCCTTGGTGGTGGTGCGGGTGTTCTGAAAGATCCACCTCCTCCGTGGTTCCCCCTTTTGCTAGAACCCTGAGGGCCGGCGTTCTCCCATTTTCTCTTCTTCGCCTCCTCGGCGTTTTTCAGCTTCCTTTCCTCCCATTCTTTTTCTCCCTTCAAGCCTTGCTCCACCACTTGACTAAACGTCATGTTAGGCAGCTGTGTTGCCCTTTCACGCACGTCTAAATCCAGAGCATCCCAGAAGTGGTTAACCATTCGGTTCTCATCGCATGCATACTCCGGTATGAACTCGGCAAGCTCCCTGAACTTATGCTCGAGTTGTCTCACGGTATACCTGCCTCCTTGGGTCAAGTTGGTGTATTCCCTCCTCTTCAAGTTTACCTCGAAGTCGGAGTAGTACTGGTTGAAGAATTCCTGCCGGAAATTCTCCCAAGTGACATTCTCACCATACTTCCCTTTGACTCCGTCCCACCACGTGGACGCCATTCCTTCTAGCAACCTCGTTGCTACTCTCATCTTCATGTTTGGCGGCAGTTGCATATCAAGAGCCGCTTCATTGAATCTCTTGATCCACTCGGCCGCAATGGAGATGTCTCCCGTTCCATCAAATGGTTTACACCCCAAGTCTCTCGCTTCTTTGAGGTACTTCGAGATCCTTATTATTGGGACCTCAGCACCCCGATCTACTCGGGACTCTACATGTCCCCTAGATCCCACATGGCTTCCTCTTCTTGAAGCCGCTCCCAAAGCACGCCTAGCCCGGCGCCTTTGGCGATCCTGTTGATATTGACGGAGTAGTTCCTCCATCCTTTCTAGAGCGTCATCATCATCGCTCCCCTCATCATCATCATCATATTCCCCATCATATGGGGTCTCAACCGGCTCTGTTCCCGGTTGATACGTCGAATCCTCCTCGGACTCATAAGACTCATTTACTGTTTCAACATGACCGTCACTCACGGTCTGAGCTTGGCCTCCACGGCCTTGCCCCCTGGACACTCTAGAAGCCCCTCTACTGCCTTGCACGGACCCTCTCGGTGCCTGGCCAGTCGGGTTCCTTCTAGTTACTTTCCCGGTACGTTCCATTTCTGAAAGAAATTGAGAATGAGTCATTAGACTCGTATCAAATGTCAATTGACGGATAAGTACTTAAGACATCCTTTGGCTCAAGTCGCCGCCATGCCAATTGTTAAGGGTACCATCTTAACAATTAGAGACCTTGCAACTCAAGTACCAAAAGTTCTATAAGTACAAAACTTTATGCTCATGGTTTCCAAAATCATTTTCAAAAGGAATTTTGAAGCTTCATTATGAAGTTTACGGACTAAGGCTCTGATACCAATTAAATTGTCACGCCCCGGACCTATCCGGACACGTCAACAACCCGCCGTACAGTACGAATAGTCAACCGCAGTCCAACTCATCCATACTATACAAGGCGTCTTGAATACCATTCACACATAGTACATCCATAAACAAGCATAATGTAAAATATTCATTTAAGCAGCGGAAACATTTAATACAAGTGTTTATGCCACACTCGGCAAACATGGGCATACAAGCCCCTGAATGATTATTCAAAAAAATAATATCCATGAGCATTATTTAGATTGTTTTCAAAACAGAAACGGAAGAAGCACGAACCACGTCTTCTTCCCTTGATCTCCCCGAAGCAACGGGTGGTGGCAGCAACTCTTCAAGTTCTACCTGAAACTGTGAGGTGGCCTCCCCCGTGAAGGGGAGGTCAGTACTTGGAAGCATTTGACAAGTACAATGACAACTATACTAAGTATAATCAATGTTTCAATTTCTTAAGACCCTCAAATAGAGTGATATTATATCGTAGGCCGTAACCCCCGGTTACCCTGTTTTATGAATATACTTACTTTATATAAAGTCAAGTAGTCGGCCCGTGGGCCCATATTCATTTAGAATTTACCATTTTCACTTTCCGTGACCATGAGTCACGACAACCCCATAGGGTTCCCTCGAGTCCCGATTGTATGCTCGGCCCAACTACATTTCTATACAATCCTTTAACTCAATTAATATATCTAAATTTGTATGGCAAGGGCTCGGCCCAACTACGTTTCCATACCAACCATAACTTCATGGCAAGGGCTCGGCCCAACTACGTTTCCATGAAGATCACAATGCATGGCAAGGGCTCGGCCCAACTACGTTTCCATGCTAGTCACATTACATGGCAAGGGCTCGGCCCAACTACATTTCCATGTAATCCTAGAGTCCGACTCTAATTTATTTCCATAGCTCAATTCTCAAGCAAATCCTATGCCTAGAATCAATTCACTTGGATAGCCTTTTGGCCTACCCCTAACACACCGTAGTGTTCATACAATTTGACCTTAAAGCATCTCTTAAGACTACTTAAGGCATATCTATTCACAATCCTATCTCTTAGGATTACTTCCATCATTTATTTATATAAATCTCCCGACTAGTATTTCGATACTAGTCGAATAACCTTAGAACAACCAAGTTCTAAGTTCATAGCCAAATGGTTTATCTCAATTGATTTTCCAATCCAAATATGATTTAATCCCAATATCAAAAATATCACTTTTATCCATTCATGAATTTCATACATGAAGTAAAAGTATATTTTATCACAATTTTCATAGTTAATTCCATTACCATACCATTTCTTTCATATCACATAATCATACACAATTTCTTACAAATTTGTATATTATGCTCTTTTCCTTATAGACAATAGTCTTCTCATTCTTAGGCATTATTAATCATTAATAATCCTTAAAAACATATTTAATTACCTTAGGTAATCTCATGAAATTAACCCAAAGATTATAAGCAATATAGTCAGCCATCCTCACCTTATGAAGTGCTGAAATAGTTGCCTTTATTAAGCCCTCCGATCAACCCCCGTTCTGAACCGATCGAAAGCGAAAAATCTGGGCAGAAGGTGAAAGCCGGGCGGCTTTCACGAAAGCTGGGCGGCTTTCGTCGTCTGCTACTACGAACAGCTCCCTTAAAGTGGCGGTTTCCGGCGATTTCGACTCCTATCGATTCACCAACTCTTCTAAGTTAATTATCACCACTTTATATCAATATAATACACTTTTAAATGTGTAGAACTCATGGTTTAATCCACCATATGATTTCTTAAAAATCATACACCATAAAACTAGTTAAGAGATTGTTTGTTGAGTTCTTACCTCAACACAACCCTTTTCTTCTTGGATTTCCTTTGCTTCTTGCTTCCTCAAGTTTGAGCTCGTGAAAGGCTCTCCCACAGACCTTATCCCTGTTGCTCTCTTTCGTATGGACTCAATTAGGTGAGGGAGTGCATCTATTCTCAATCACTTGGAGAATAATGCATGAATGAGACAAGGATGGGGTGTGGTTTTGTCTCCAATCACTCTCCCAGTAATAGTCCGCCCAACCCATGTTATGATGTCTCAAAATCATTATTTTGAGTCTAAAGATTGTAGGAAAAAACCCCAATTGGGTATAGGAAGTCCCTCCCAATTATTCTTGCTATTTTTGACAGGTTGGGCCAAAATAGCACTTCGGTTGTCCAAACATTTTTATCAACTTTGGTTGGCATTTTATTGGGCTTCTCTAATTATTACATCGACCCAAATAAATATTTGGTAGCCCATTCTCAATAATATGGACCCGATAAATAATTTAATTAATCGCACATTAATTAAATATACCAATTCTGTTACACGATTTTATTCGCTGTAAAATTCAAACATATTCCGAATTTCAACTTCAAGTTCATCCGGGTGCGGTGTCACATGGTAGGCTGCCTCCTCTGCCATGTAAGCACCCATGCCCCTACTTGCAGCCACCATGATCCAGCATTAAATGCGGCTTCCACTTGCTGACTGCCCGTTCGGGTATGGTGTTCGGGGTGTGGGACCCTGCCATAGATCTTATCTTGTTTATGATCTTCCATTTGAGAAGTATCCCGAATGCTGTTCGGGATCCAGCCATTGGTGCTTTGGCACAATTGTTTCCTGAAATGTTCCAAGTAGAGGCTTTGCCCCAAATGCTGATCGGAAATTCTTGGGCTGCCTTGGGCCTGCTGCTTCTTCCCGGGTTTGGGCCAAGGGATATTGGGCCTGGACCCAATATCCCAACAGTTATTAAATAATAAGAATCTCTTTCATAAAAGATTCTTTAATATTATTTGATTTCTTATTTTATGTATTTTTTATAATTTTAAATTTATCGAATTTTTAACTACTTTAAACTTTTTTATAAAACTATTTATTTTTTATATTTTATAAAATAAATTATATTATCTATTTAAAAAAGCTACATTGAAAATTATTTCTCAAGTTTTATTATTATATGATTTCTACGTGTTTTTTTTCAAACTTTTTTATAAAATTTTAATTCATTTTCTTTAATTTGTAAATTTAATTTATAATTTTCTAATTTCACATCGGAATTTTATTTTTTATTTCGAGTTTTAAAAGTTTTTTGAAAATCAATTTCCTTTTTTAAATTTTATTGTTTCCTATGCATTATCCGCTATAAGAGTTAATGAATTTTTACATTTTAAATTTAAGAATAAAAACTTGAGTGCCTACATATTATTTGTAATTTCATACGAAGAGTAATGCTTTGTGAAAAGTGGAGCACTGATTGAAACGTTACGTGGATGGGTGCACGTGTAACTGTGCAAGGAGAATAAATTTGAGCCTGTGAGCTAGATACGCGGACTGGTCTATTTTTGAAAAGAGGTAATCTATTATTGAAAGAAATTTTTAAGGGTGACACAAGTGATGTTACTATCAATTTTTAGTTTGTGAAAATTTCCCAAGAAACTAATGATCTTTTGGGCCCAACAGTCGGTTGATTCTTTAATGATACATAAATAAATTGGTAATCCTAAGAGACTAAGGATTTGTGCTATCGTAATCCAGGGCCGGCTACAATAAATATAGGCACTGCAGCTCGTTAATTCGACAGATCAAACTGATAACATATATTGATACTCCGATTAGGTTCGCGCGCGGCAGCGATGGGGGACTCGTTGACTGATTTTCAGTGGAGCGTGGAGATAGATACAAAAGATGGTCCTGATCTTCAAAGGTCTCTGGTGAGGATATATCTTGAAGAAAGGGATGCTTCGTTTGTTAGAACATGGTGGGGGGATTGGGGGGATTGGGGGGATGTTCTGTATAGGATTGAGGAGTTCCTTGACGTGAGCCGTGAATGTGTGGAGACTATCGACTTGGAGAAGATCCTATCTGAAGAGGAAGACGAAGAAGAACTTATGACTTTATTTACAGATAAGGTACTCTCCCCCTTCCATCACATTGTCTACGGAGAAAGGCTCAAGGTCATCGCAAGTGAGATAATAAGGGGATGTCGCGATCGGCTTATTCTTCTCACCAATGACAACTCTAACTCAAAGGTGTACTCGATTAGTGTGGGTTTATCTTTACAGCTTTTTGTAACTTTGGGACTAGAGGCCTGGACCTGGTTTCAAGATTGCCTTGTGCAGCTGCCGCCTGGTGTGCGTGATTACGATCCCTCATCTCCAATGCCTCTCCCGAGGATGGTGCCGAATGGCTACGGTTTCTTCCGACTTGGCGGTGGTACAAAACTAGAAGAAGAAACATGTGTGATTTGCTTTGGCAAGTACGAACCACAATGCCTTGTGATTCGCCTCCAATGTCTGAATGAGCTTCTCCCCGATCCCGACGAGGAGCATAGTCACAAGGCCGAGACTCCAGCAGCAATGTTGCTGCCATGTGGCCACATATTCCATGCCAAGTGCATTGCAAGTTGGTTTTGTGTTTCAAAAGACAAACCCTGCCAACTATCCGGTATTAATACTTGCCCTCTATGTAGGTTTCAGGTTCCTACCCGTCATTTCGTGCTTTCTCTTCAACATTTCTTTCCTCTGCTCTATTTTTAAAGCTAGTGATGGTCAATTGGTCATGGGCTAACTCTTAGGTACTCAACAATGGATGTTGAATTGAAAGAAGCAGGTCGGGCCACCATGCCCATCCTGTTTGTATGTATGTATTCCAGCCCAACATTTTTAGTGTGCTGAGTTAGAATTTTGTTGCAAGTCGTTTTTCATACAATAGTATTTACTGATTTACATGTAATTTAGTTACAAGTTAGTTATTATTTCGATCACAGTGGGCAGATTTTTCCATGTACAACAACCAGCCACTTTTCTTCTCTTTCCCGGCCTTTTCATAATTGCACCAACTTCATGATGCTCAATTTTGCCTGGGTGAGCTTCTTATGAACAAGGCATGACTATGGTGTTGCCATGATATAGAATTTGTTGATATATTTTGTAGGTGTATTTTACAATTTTTAAGTAGTTGAAATCTTTTTTGTGCACGTACTAACTGTCATCGCGATCTACAAAACGTCACTGTTAATTTTGATAATGCCTAAGAACCTGATGCTTGACATTGTTATTAGTTTCTATATGAAATACATAAAAAACTGTGACCCAATTTTTTTAAGAAAAAATTCCACTTTTGATCCCATGACTATTATGCCACTTCCACATTACTCCCTTGACTTTCAATTTAACCAAATCTAGTCCGTGACCTTTTCCCCTTCACCACCCGTCGTCCTTCCGACCACAACTCCGGCAATTTTTAACCAGAAACTCATTTATGTAGAAATATTTGGGGCATTTTAGTAATTGCAAGTTGTTAAAACGGCTACCTACAAAATTAACTTCAATTAATGTTGAGCTAATACGCCAGCTTCCTTCATTCTCAAAACCGAAGTCTTCTCCAATTTCCCAAACTTCCGTCAGCTTGGAAAATCCCCAACTATCGTTCGAACAATGAGGATCCTTCCGGACCGTCGGAGTGAAGGATAAGGAACAAGTGCGACGTTCGCCAACAAATGCTGGTGATAAAGGTAAGAGGCTGAACTTTTTTTAAAAAGAGTGGAAGAAAGTAATGAATACAAGGCTGAAAAAGAGGTGTATATAATTGGTGTTTGCCCATGTTAGAGGTTTTATGTTGAGGCTGAAAAAGAGGGTTTTTTTAAAAAAAAAAAAAGAGTGAAAGAACGTAACATGTGCAAACACCAATTATATACACCTCATTTCAGCCTTGTATTCATTACTTTCTTCCACTCTTTTTTTAAAAAGTTCAACCTCTTACCTTTATCACCAGCATTTGTCGGCGAACGTCGTTCAACACTTGTTCCTTCTCCTTCACTCCGACGGTCCGGACGGGTCCTCATTGTTCGAACGATGGTTGGGGATTTTCGGGCTGACGGAAGTTTGGGAAATTGGAGAAGACTTCGGTTTTGAGAATGAAGGAAGCCGACGTATTAACTCAACATTAATTGAAGTTAATTTTGTAGGTAGCCGTTTTAACAACATACAATTACTAAAATGTCCCCAATATTTCTACATAAATGAGTTTCCGGTTAAAATTTGCCGGAGTTGTGGTCGGAAGGACGACGGGTGGTGAAGGGGAAAAGGTCACAGACTAGATTTGGTTAAATTGAAAGTCAAGGGAGTAATGTGGAAGTGGCATAATAGTCATGGGACCAAAAGTGGAATTTTTTTGATAAGAAAACATATAAATGCTATTAAATGACGCAACTAACCTTCATTAATTGGTTTCCGGTTAAAATTTGCCGGAGTTGTGGTCGGAAGGACGACGGGTGGTGAAGGGGAAAAGGTCACGGACTAGATTTTGTTAAATTGAAAGTCAAGTGAGTAATGTGGAAGTGACATCATAGTCATGGGACCAAAAGTGGAATTTTTTCATTTTTTTTAATGCAAATGAATAATGTAGACAGTTCTGGAAATGCTCCCCTTTGGCACCTGCATATTGTCTTTTGTACTTTTCTAGATTGAGGCATTCCTAAACAACAAGATCTACCAATAATTCAAGAACTGTTTTTGCATCAGGATAGGTTTTCTCCATCTTTTCAGTAATGTCATTTTTTCGGTAGGAACAGATCACTTCTTGCTCCGCTTTGACATTTATTTTACTTTGATGCTTCTTTTTTGCTTGATACTATACGTAGAAATGCATAACTAATTTCTGTAGAATAAACGATGGCACACTCGTGCTATTGGGCTAAGTTAGCTTTTTTACGTTTAAAACGCGTTTTAAACACGTACCGTTTTTTTTTAACAAAAAAAAAACGCGTTTAAAACAAAAAATAATGTCGGTCCGTTTTAAAAGGAAAAAAACTTCCACTTCCCGTATAAAACGTATTTTTCCCATATTTTACAAAAAATAGAAACATCATTTGATCACTTGTATGAATACATCAAATGATTAGGAGATCAACAATAGTTTAAAAGCAAAAAAGAAAACTTCATCCC